ATACCATATTGTTTATATATTGTTTCCGTTGATGAATTTAGTAATAATATTTTCTTTAGTAATTGTCAACATAACAAGTAACAGTTTTCATTAGAACAATGAAATGCCTCGCCCTGAATATTTCAAACAACACATATGGTTGTGAATTAAATTTATATACGAGGTTGTTCAAAAAGTACCCGGAATTACTAATAATTAAATTTCGCGGGTCTGGAGTGTCTGATTGTCAAATTTTTTTTATTGTGTTGGTATACATGCCCCTAAAGTATGATGAAATTTTCAGCTATATTCACTGTTTACTTTGTCTGTGGTAGTCGCTAAGGTTCGACGTGTTTTTTCTGAGCTCGCGATTTTTACAATGGAAGAATTGAAAAGTCAAAGAATTTGTATTAAATTTTGCGTAAAAAATGAATAAAGTGTTGCAAAGTGCAAAAATTCACAGGTATGGCTCCGTGTGACTTTTCTATTCCAAAGTTGAAGAGACCATGAAAGGACGGCGGTTTCCTCGATTGAAGAAAATCGCTGAGAGTGCTCAAGGACATATCAAAAAGTGAATATCAAGGGTGCTTCGAAATTGAAAAAACGCTGGCATAAGTGTATTATATCTGGGGGGGACTACTTTGAAGGGGACCACATTAATGTAGACGAATAAATAAATATTTTTTTGAAAAAACGAAAATTCCGGGTACTTTTTGAACCGACCGTATATATATATATATATATATATATATATATATATATATATATATATATATATTTAAATTCGTGAAAGTAATTTATACCCAGTGTTTTAAAAAGAAAAATCGCGTTGAATTACTAAACCATATTTATTAGAGATTTAGGAAACAAACTCGTTCAACATTTATTTTAAAGAAATACAATTGATAAAATAAAAATGAATCTGCGGAATATAAACAAAAAATTATGAATAATACTAATTTAATTTTTAACTTGCAGTTTTTAATGTAATTTTGAACTCAAATATATAATTAACTATATATTAAATTAAACTCATATTATTTCATCATTAATTGCATATGATTTATTAAATTACATTTGTTGTAATGTGGTCATTTGATTTAACATTTTAATTTAATAAAAATATTTTTTTATTAATATAAACTAAAAAAAATATTGATTAATAGTATTGAACTATGAATTGTTCATTACATTCAAATTTTAATCTGGTGGATTTTAATAATAGCCACAGCAAAGCGTGGCCGGTATGCTAGTTATAATAATATATATATATATATATATAATATATATATTATTCATATAAAGGGTATGTAGGATGTAGGATATTTTTAAAAGAGTGCCAATTAAAAGTTATTTATGAGGGTCAATTCTCAGACACCTTATGTTATAATAAAAACCAAATTAATACCTTCGTATACCTTTATAATAAATTAGAAAAACGAATCGAATTATAGAGAGACGATTATGAAACATATAATAAACTTAGACATACTTATATTATATATTGATATACAAATATATTAATAACATAACTAAACAGGAATAAAAATTTAAAAAATGGTATGGTGCAGTATTTAAAATTTGTTTCACAATTGAACGTTGGACTAACAAAGTCAGAATTTAAATTTATTTTCCTATTTTTATTTTTTAAGTAAGCTTTTTTATCATGTTCGGTATTACAATAAATTTAGAAAAAATAGAAAAAATACACTTCTATGCAAAATGAACTTTGATTTTAGTAATTTATACATTTCGTAGGGTGACACATTATTTTTTTAAAAATTCCTATTTTTTTGGAGCATTAAATAAGCTACTAGAAGAGATTTAAAACCTATAAAAAAATAACATACATTATGAACTATGTTAAATTTCAAACAAATCATAAAAAAATAATTTAAATTAATTTATCCGTTAGATTTAATTAATAATGTAACCATATCAGAACTCTAGTCTAGTGTATTTATAAATCAGCATATCTAACGTCCTAACGGGTTCAAAACGATTAAGATTTGATTGCTGAAATTAATTATCATTATATTTGATTTAATTAATCAATTAATATTCGCACAACACATTAAAGTGTATATATATATATATATATATATATATATATATATAATATGTCGATATATTCTTATCCCGAGTGTGGGATCCAATTGGCGCCAACGTTTAAGATTCTTGCGACATTCCAATGTGCCACAGTACTAGAAAGTTGTATTTCTTATGATTTTGTATTTATTCTCATTGAATTCTGTGTAAATTATTTAACTACCTGTATAAATAATAATTATCATATTGAAGAATTTTTCTCATTTCAAATCACATTTTGCAACTTTTCGTTTGGACTAGCTAGGGTACGAACCTTACAAAGTTGAAGAAAGAACCATAATAATGGAATCTTGTAATTATATATTATTGTTTATTAGAGTGTTTTTTGTTTATAAGATTGCATTGCATTTATTATGGGAATTTTAAAGTTGTTGTTATACTAAGGATTTTTGTTTGAATTTTCATTTTTAAATTTTCGTTTGAAGTAACACGAGTGCCAACTGTATGATGTGAAGCAAGTAATCGGGAGAATGGATTTATGAAAATTGTTATATTATAACAAACTTTGTGCTAAGTTTTAAAATGTTTTACAGCATACAATTTTTAAATTCCAAAGTTATTATTACATTAAGAATTTTATCTTAAATTTATAGTATTTACTGCATATTATTAAAATTTCAGTCATTATTATATTAGGATTATTTTATTTAATTTACATTTTTTAATTTTCCGTAGAGTAGTTATAGTAATCGGCCAAAATCGAAATTGAAAATTTTTGCATTCTTCACGTTTCAGAGGTTTCTGAACATTTTAGCATATCTCAGAAAAAATGAATGTATGTGTGTTTTGTGTGAATACAATTATGTTCACATTTTGTTTAGATTCAACCGTTTAGGAGATAAAGAGCAAAGAATGTAGAAAAAAGAATTTAAGTTTTTGAGAGCACAGATCATCGATTGATTTGATTCAAAAAACATTCGATTCTTATTGATAGGGAGATGTGCTGATTAGTTTTTGGTAGAGGCAAGTCTAGCCGTTTCAGAGATACAAAACACATTCAAAAACTGCCTCGGTATCTTCGAAATGACGGGACCTGTCTTTGCCAAAAATTAATACTTATACTCGGTATAGATTCTGATTAGAATCATTTAAGCGAAGGCAAACTTTGATATTTTTTATATTTTTTTTATATCGTAGGCCTATAATATTTTAGTATATTTTACCAGTTCTAATTTAAAACAGATTTAATACTTTTAACAAAAGAATCTCTGCAAGTAAAACGGTAATTTAAATTTATGCAAATCGGCAGTCGCGCGGATTCAACATTCAAGAATTTGTTTAACAAAAGATTCACCTCATCTCATTCTTGGAACTTATAATATTTATTGTCTCTTGACATTTGTTGTCGCAGATGTAAATCAATTAATAAATCACACAAATCGAGTTCTGAGAATTGTATTATATAACATAAACATTTATACCATAGGTTCACAATCTGTTATTATTTTTCAGTGATTATCTCCTGAGACTATCCTTATCTAATTTGTCTCTGATTGAATCCACTTGGATTCCGCCGACTGAAATTGCGACGAAAAGTTGTCTCGATAAAGGACAATCAGAAGCTTTTTGCAAAAATCATGTCAGGGTTTTATTGGAATTGGAGAACGAAGACTCCATATTGGTCTGTGGCACAAACGCCTTTTTTCCTCAATGCTGTGTGAGAAAGGTGAGTGGTAAAATAAAAATGCTTCCTTTAAAATTACTAAGTTTATTTTAGATGTTACATGTTTCGCCTTTTCTGGAGCAAGAGGAGTATTTTACATAGTTTTAACATAAAACAAAAATATAAGATGGCGCATACATAGTTATAGTAGGGGAACACTATTGCCAACATCACTAATAGTAATGGCGGGACATTTGAATTACAAATATATATAACATTACATTTGACATTACATAAAAAAATGTGACAAACAAGTTTGTCCAGCGCGAATGATAAAATCAAGTCAAACGTTTTTCATCAAAACCTTAAATCTGTTTTTTTCTTAGATAACCGATCTCAAACAAGCAGGACAATGTGCCAGGGCCGTCGGAGTTTGCCCTTATTCCCCTTTGGCCAACTCAACTGCCATTTTGATCTCCGAATCCAACAACAAACAGTTTGTTCACAACCGAGATGGATTTTTGGCAAGGGATCGTTTTGGACAACTTGACAGAGATAGCCCGAAGAAAAATTTTGGTTTTCTCGGAAAACAAATTTTGTATGCTGGGGCTACAATGGACTTCTCTGGTCAGGACGCTGCCATTTATAGGACTGATCTGTCGAATGGAAAATCAGGCAAGGGGAATAAAATTATGGGATCAAAATTAACACCAATAAAGTAGTTATTGATTAATTTTTTTGTTCAGGTTCTCTTCCATCATTAAGGACTCACCAGTACGACCCACATTGGCTGAACGACCCACAATTTGTTGGATCCTTTGAAGATGAATCTTATGTCTATTTTTTGTTCAGAGAAGTTGCAGTCGAGTACATCAATTGTGGAAAGGTAAATAAACTTAAGTATAAAGTTTTATGAAAATAAAACAGTTAATTCCATCCTGTTAAGTAGAAATTTGTTAGCATTGTTAATTTTTGTAATAGTTTAATCAAATTTTTGAAATTCAAATTTATATTCTGTAGCAATGATACCTATACGTTAATTTAGTAATTTAGAAACGTTACAAAAACGAAACTGTTACGTTCTCGCGCAATTTGGAAACGTAACAAAAACGAAACCGTTACGTTTTCGCGTAACGTAACAGGCCGTTACATTTTTGAGGCGGAAATTAACACGTCTGTGTGCCTCCTAGGTTACGTAACCGCTATGTTTGACGTAACATCTGTTACGTTATATTAACGTTTTAATTACGTTTTGTGGTTTACTGGGTTGTTTTTACATCAGTTACAATATTTTTTATTTTTAAATATAAATGTAAATATATTCACATTTATGTTTACATTTACATTTACATTTAGATTTACATTTACATTTATATTTATATTAATATTTTTTAACAATTGTTTTTGTTTCCAGGTGATTTATTATTACATTTACATTTAGATTTACATTTACATTTACATTTATATTTATATTAATATTTTTTAACAATTGTTTTTGTTTCCAGGTGATTTATTCTCGTATAGCTCGTGTGTGCAAAAATGATTCAGGAGGTCATTCGATGATGCAGAAGAATTGGTCATCATTCTTAAAAGCAAGATTGAATTGTTCAAGATCAGGAGAGCACCCATTTTATTTTAATGAAATCCAAGACATGACTTATGATGAGGAAGAAAGAGTCGTTTATGCTATTTTTTTCTACACCAGTGTTAGTAACAAATTATCTCGACCTTGAATATTATTATTGATAGATCAAAAAATGTACTAGTTTTTATTTGTTTTATTCAGGAATAGCATTGCAGGATCTGCAATATGTTCTTTCAACATGTCGGCTGTCCAAAAATCCTTCTCAGGTTCCTACAAACACCAGCCAACACCTACGAGTCAATGGGAAGCTAAAATGGACGACCATCATGAATGCGGGTAAGTAAACAATAATTCACCACAATGGCAGTAATATATATCATAATTTGTTACCTTTTAGTTCCAATAAAGTGCCCCGTTACCAACTAATGGACCATCCAGTACAACCAATTCAAAGGGATCCGCTCCACCAAGTCGAACTGGAAAGATACACCCATATGGCAATCGATAAGGTGGACACAAAACTTCATACAGGAGTCCGAATAATTTTTGTATCGAATGATAGAAATGAAATCAAGAAGATTTCCATATTGTCTCGGACAGGCAGGGCTTGTGTTATCGATGTGTTTAGGCTGGAAGAGAAAGGAGGCTTTGTTGGTGGAATTAGGGAGATGGAATTTAATAAATTTATGGTAAGATATAACGGATTTATTATGTTAATAAGGATTTAATTTTGTAACAAATGTAGCTGAATGTACTTTGTATAGCTTGCTATGAGTAATAAATCAAAAAAAAAAAAAAAAGGATTTAATAATGATTTTTTTGTTTGTTTAGAACTCTTTGTATATTTTGACAAAGACTTCAGTGTGGAGAGTACCTGTAGAACATTGCTCGAGGTTGAAAACAGAACGATCTTGTCTAGATTCGATGAACCCGTATTGTGGTTGGGATAAAACAGCTTACAGGTATTTATTGCTAATAAAAATTATTATCATAAAACCAAAGCGAAAGATTGCATGATACAAGTATTTTCCTTTATCAGTGAATCTGGTATTCGAGAAGGTGCTTGCACAAGAGCTCCAGATGCAGAGCCTCTAAATCCTTCCTGGCAACAGAATCCTGTCGGGTGCCCTCAAGACAGCAAGAGACGCCAACCACAATGGTCAGAGTGGTCGCCATGGACCAAATGTGCACAAGGTACTACATCATCTCATTCTATCTATTTCTATTTAATACTCGAAATGTTTTTCTCTCTAGCTTCTGAAAACAATATAGATTCTCTCGACTATGATGATTCCCAGCAAGATTGGTGTTTGTGTCAGACTCGTACATGTTTTGGTTCGAGTGCTTCTGCAAGAGGTGCCAATTCTTGGTCGAAAATTAGTTCGGTGCCAAGTGAGTGCTCTGGACCTAGTACTAGAATTACTAATTGCACCAGACATGGTGGATGGACTCCCTGGTCGCCTTGGTCAGCTTGCTCACAGGTATAAAATATTTACATATATATATATATGAAATCTCACATATCTCAACATCAAAATTATAAAAATTTAACATATATATATATATATATATATATATATATATATTCTAGATGACCCGACAGACGATGTCCTGTACCCATGTCTACATTCTTATATCTTATACTAATATATACCGTTTACCTAAAACTAATAATTATTGTTTTTTAAATTACTCTTCACGTTAAAATGCATGTACATTTATAATATGAGCGGTGTTAATGTAGAACTGCCTTAAATAAAATGATGATTATCAATTCCCACACCGTATTGGAAATTGAAGTTTTTTAAATGATATAACATACAAAACCATAACATAACACTGGTACTTCATGTTGGCTTAAATTAATTTAATTTTGTATTATTTATTATATCCAAAATTGCATCTTAAACTTCTCCTAATCGATATCGTGAGGCCCGAATTGTATGTATTAATCTGTACTGTCCCATTTGTCGTTATAAAGTGAAATTTTTACCAATTTTAAAAATATTGTGGAAATATTAGTAAAAGATGCAAAGAAATTATATATTGAAAAAAACTATATTGAAAATTAAATATCCGAATTTTGTGTTGGCGCCCCCTAAGGCGTGCGCTCGTATTTTTCGCATGCATCGCATTAAAGGTAGGACCGGCCCTGATTAATACTTAATTTTATATTTTAAGTGAATTAATTTATCATATCCTGTTCATATGTGTATCATTGAATCTGCCATTAATATACTGTATCTTATATTTTAATTTCTGGCACATCTCAGCTGCTTTTTGGCAATAATAATGTAGACATTTCATTTTTTTTTATTCATAATCAAAAATTTCTTATACATATTTTAATATTGTCTAGGTTCATAAGTAAATTGAAATTTTTGGCAGATGATAGTTTTCATTTATTTTCAATGCAAACAATGACATGTCGTGTTTTGCATTTTTTTCATTTATTTCTATAATATTGCACATACATCTCAGTACTTTATAATCACATACATCCTAGAAAATCTCCTTAACAAACTTCAGAAAGATTTATCAAAATCCGAATAATCGTTTAGAAGGAGTATACAGCGAATGCACGTAATTTAATATGAACTTTATATAATTGCAATAAAGTTCAAATTGACTCTACGTTTTAGTTCGAAAACGTTTGTATGAGAAAAAGAAATGGGATATTTTTAGGGTTTTCCCGACGATTATTCGATTTTTTCTCGCCATAAGAACCATCCTTGAACGAACATTTTGAAAAAAGAATTGGCCAAATTGGTCCAGGCGTTGTTGAATTATGCGCTTACCAATACATTTTGCGATTCATTTTTATATATAAGAAGATATATAGACACATAGACTCACATTTGTAGAATCTATAATTTTTGATAAATAAAATATCCTGATCTAATTAATTTGTTACCATGTGTCTTTTACCTCAGAGTTGTGGAGTGGCAGTGAAGACCCGTCGCCGTTCCTGCACAGCCCCCAGTCCGGCCCACGGGGGGCGCGTCTGCGTCGGTCCGGAGTCTCATGAAATTTATTGCACGGACAACCCGCCATGTCCCACGGAAGCCCCGACGATGGACCCTCTGGAGCACGATGACGATGAGTTAGATCGAGATTTGGAGGGTGATTCCGAAATTGGGGGTGAGAGGTGATTATTTAAGTGTCCCGAGGGGAGAAAAGATTGTATTTGTACATATGTATATATAATGTGAAAGGTGGTAATTAATTTTTTGGGTGATAAGATGAAATTGATGATAATTCTATGTTGTATTAACGGTTATTAATCTTATTAACTTATTAATCTATTAACTTTTGATCAAAACGATTATTCGTGAAGCAAAATTCTTCTAAATTTTGAGAAGTAGAATTTTTAAGTTGTATTATAATGTTTTCATCAAAAAATCCGAATCGCTAATTTTATGTTTTCTCGACGTTTCAAGCCATTCTGAAGCGAATGGACCGAATTTGGAAAAAGTATGTGTGCGTGTATATGTGTGTGTGTGAACAGATTTTTTTCAGTAAATCGACGTTTTTTCAGAAACGGCTGGAGCGATTTCAAAAATTCAAAAGCCATTCGATGCATCTCGACGAGGGCTAGCGTTTATCAATTTTCTTTGTAAAGAAACTTTTTTCGTCCACGTTTTAGCCCGCAGTTCTGAATAGATTTTGAAAATTCGAAAACCGTTCGACAGATATTGGTTGGGAATCGTGCTGATTAGTTTTTGGTAGAGATCGGCCGGGCCGTTTTCTTGTAATAAAGTGTAGAATTTTTTTTTTCGACGATTTTTATTATTATTATTTTGACGGTAGATATCATAGTCTTACATATCATACTAAAATATTAAGACCCTACAACTCGTTTAGCTTTAAAAATTTGTCAAAATTTGCAAAAATTAGTATCGTTTTTTTTTGGCATTTGTCAAAATTAGACCTTTCATCGGTGTTTGCTCAAAAACGACTAAACCGATTTCAGAAATTTAAAAACCATTTGATGTATCTCGATGAGGATTATTGTTTGTCGGTTTTGTGAGATGATCTGCCGAGCCGTTTCTTTGTAATTTGGAAAAAAGTGTTTAACGTTTCGTCCACATTTAAGCTCATTCTACCGAATCGATTTTAAAAAATCAAAAACTTGTAATTAACTGTTGAAAAAAAATTTAAGCCGATTTTTATGGAACTTTTTTTGGCGATATATATCATGGTTTTGTAGAACTTACTGAAATATTACGGCCTCACGACAAGTAGTTTAATTTTAAAAATTCATCAAAGTTTGAGAAAATGAGTAGTTTTTTTGACGTTTGTTAAAATTAAAATTAGACGATTTACTTGATGTGTGTTAATGATGTGTGATAAATCTACTCGAAATACTTTTAATCACCATAAATTAATTTATTTTTTATTGATTAAGTCGATTATTTACACCTATCGGGAAGTTCATGTAACTTGCCTCAATGCAAAATACCAATACCAACTAGTTTTAATATTAATGTCCTACAACGACAATTACAATACTTTTGCTTCATGTTTTCGTGCCTTATAAAGTCGTCTGTTTTCTCTTCGTCACCTTCAACATTTTGTAGTCTTTTAGTACTTAAATTTTTTTTCTGATGACGTCATTGAAAAAGCTTTTTTTATCCAAATTAGGTTCAATCTTGTTTCCTTTACTTACTCTCTGAAGTAATTCTTTACAAGTCACCTTGTTGACTATTTTATTTACCCCAACCCTACGAAAGTATAGGAGGTTTTTATTGGTCTTCTATAGAGTCCAGGAATCTGATCAGTACAGAGCTGTACTACAAATGGTATCAGTTACTAACTATATTGAATTTAAATATTAATAATGCATAAGATTTTTTTAATAAAATTAATTTAACTAAAACTAACTTAATAAAATAATTTGACTAAAAACTAAGACAAAAATCTGAAGTCGCAAATATTGAAGGCAAAAGAAAAAGTTTATGCATAAATTTGAAAAAATTTTAGATTTTTTTTATACTTGTATCTTGTATCTTATATATAAAAATGAATCGCAAAATGTGTTGGTAAGCGCATAACTCAGGAACGCCTAGATCAATTTGGTCAATTCTTTTTTTAAAATATTCGTTGAAGTCTAAGGATGGTTCTTACGGCGAGAAAAAATCGAATAATTACCGGGAAAACCCTAAAACCGGCCCTTTTCTTTTTCACATGCAAACGTTTTCTAACTAAAACATAGAATCAATTTGAGCTTTATTGTTATTATATAAAATTCATATTAAATTAGAAGCATGTATACTTCTTCTAAACGATTATTCGGATTTTGATAAATATTTCTGAAGTTTGTTAAGGAAAATTTCTAGGGTGTATGTGATTATAAAGTACGGGGATATTGTAGAAAAAAATGGAAAAAATTGCAAAAAACGACATGTCATTGTTTGCATTGAAAACAAATGAAAACTATCATCTGCCAAAAATTTCAATTTACTTATAAGCCTAGACAATATTAGAATATATATATATATATATATATATATATATATATATATATATATATATATATATATACAGTAGAACCTCCTTATTCGCGACTCCTTCATTCGCGTTTTCGCTATTCGCGGCCAAAAAAATTGCGACCCGATACCTTTATTCGCGGCTAAAAATTTTGTTATTCGCGGATTCCAGTGTTTATGAAATACAATATCTTCTGTAAATGCCGTCTTTTTGACCTATATAATTGCGTTGCCTTCGGCGTCCTATCAGTTATCAGCGTTTTTGATCAAGTTTTGATCAACAAACAGGAAATGAATGAATCAATCACATATGCATGCTTTATTTCTTCATTTTCTCATTTGTAGCAAATATTGTGATCGAGTAACACGTGCTAACAGACCTTTTCCTCTATATAATTAATAATAATAATTAAAATAACTAACATTGAAATTAAAATTAAATTAATATAGCAATAAATAAAAATTAAATTAACATGTCAACTAAAAAAAGTTGGGCAAGAAAAAAGTCAGTGTTGTCCTTAAAATTAAGATAGAAATACTTGATCGTTTACGCCTTAAAGTCTTTCGCATCCATATCGGGCTGATATAATGTTATATTATAATGAATCTATCGTACGATCGATAAAAAAATCGGAAGATAAAATAAGATTATCTCAGTGAAGGTTTAAAGATGACAAATGATCTGTGTGATTTTTTTAAGAACATTGATCAATATATGGAGAGAAGTATTCTCTTTAAAAGGCAAATTTCAGATGAGACTGCCGTTTATCAGTCTGAATTTAAAGACACTTTCGAAACATAGTAAGCAAGAAAAAATTACAAAGTTTTTTAAATCTTTGCCTATTTCTATACAAAAAGGATCAAAATGTTTAACTCATAATATAACTAATCAAATAAATTTATATAGTTTTAATATTTATTTATATAAATAATAATATAGTTTTATATATATATACTTTTCATTATTTTGTCACCTTGGAACGTATACCTTACATCCTATATAAAATGCCATCCTGTATTTGCGGATTTTTCATTATTTGCGGATTATTTGTCATCTTGGAACGTATTTCCGTAATCCCATACAAAATGCCATCCTGTATTTGCGGATTCTTTATTCGCGGCATTTTTGCGGAACGTATCCCCCGCGAATAAGGAGGTTCTACTGTATTAAATTCATGATTATGAATAAGAGATAATGTACTAGTTTCAATATTCAAGAAATAAATGGACTTATGAACTTAAAATAAATTTATGATTATGACTAAGAAAAATAAAATGTCTATATTATTATTGCCAAAAAGCAGCTGAGATGTAGCAGAAATTAAAATAATATAAGATACAGTATATGTATGGCAGATTGAATGATACACATATGAACAGGATATGACAAATTAATTCACTTAAAATTTGAAATTAAGTATTAATCAGCGCCGGTCCTACCTTTAATGCGATGCATGCGAAAAATACGAGCGCACGCCTTAGGGGGCACCAACACAAGATTCGGATATTAAATTTTTAATATATAATTTCTTTACATTTTTTACTAATCTTTCCACAATGTTTTTAAAATTCGTAAAAACTTCACTTTATAACAACAAATGGGAAGTAAAGATGAATACATACAATTCGGCCCTCACGATATCGATTAGGAGGAGTTTAAGATGCAATTTTTGATATCTTAAATAATAAAAATTCAATTAATTTAATCCAACATGAAGTACCAGTATTATATTATGGTTATGGTTATGTTATACCGTGGAAAAGACTTCAATTTCCAATATAATTGTGTGGGAATTGAGACTCATGATTTTATTTAAAGCAGTTCTACATTTAACATCGCTCATATTATAAATGTATATGCATTTTGGCGTGAAGAGTAATTTAAAAAACAACAATTATTATTTTTAGGTAAACGGTAAATATTAGTATATTATATTAAAAAATTGTAGACATGGGTACAGGTAAAAATTGTCGAAAATCGAAAATCATGATTTTTCAAATAGAATGTTGTTTTAAGCAAAATAAAGATAAAATAGATATTTTATATTACGGGTCTATAAACGTATAAGTTGGTTGCAGTCAAGTGCCTTTTGGAGGTTAGGTTTTATGTGTAAAACGCCTGATCGCACAGAAAATACACAACTTTTTGATAGTTATTCAATTTACATTATATAGTATATATATAATTCGAACGTCTGTCGGGTCATCAAGTATCTTATAAAAAAGGTTACTAAAAAAATTTAAACAAATTACATTTCAACAAGGGCTTCAGATTTTTGTCAACGTCTACACCAAAAATAAATCACACCACATATAATTATAATTCTTATTTCTTTTCCTCAGTTCTTGGTCCGCATGGTCGGCCTGGTCGTCATGCTCGGCACAATGTTCCGGAGGATTTCGAGTACGACGACGAGTTTGCACCACCACATTTCCATCATCATCATCATCCGGATCATCTTCCGGATCATCTTCCGGATTACTACGACGAAGACAACACCAATCAGCGTCTTCCAGAGACCTACACCCACACCCACACACACGTACACATGCACACGCACGTGCACAGACACACGCACACGCACATACACGACCACACACACGTACACCTTCTGAGGACGTGGACGACGATCAGGACGGGGACGACAGGAGGAGGAGGAGGAGAGAGAGATTGGTGCCGGTGACGTTGACGCCTACCAGGGTGTTGACCACGGTCATGGGGGAAGGTAAGATTGATAATTGACATAGGATTTAAGTGTATAATTAACTTGCCGAAGGAGAAGTTAATGCTTTCATAAAAAAATCCGACTCGCTAATTTTGTTTTCTCGACGTTTCAAGCCATTCTGAATCGAATGAGACCAAATTTAATACAAAAGGATGTGTGTGTGTGTGTGTGTGCAAATCAGATTTTGGTCTACATTTCAACATGAAAACTAATATCATTATTAACTTCCCGTAGGGTAAGTTATAGTAATCGCAAAAAAATCGAAAATGAAAATTTTTATATATCTTTACGTTTCAGAGGTTTCTGAACATTTTGGCATACCTTAGAAAAAAATGATGTATGTGTGTGTGTGTGGTGTGTGTTGTGTGTGTATGTATGTGCGGATACAAATTTTCGTCGACGATCTCGGGAGCACACGGATGAAGCGATTTGAACAATTCAAAAAACATTCGATTCGTATTGATAAGGAGACGTGCTGATTAGTTTTTGGCGAAGGTAGGTCTAGCCGTTCCGAAGATACGAGGCAAAAAGTGCCAAAAACGGTAACTCATTGTTTAAGAGAACGGAGCGTGCGATTCAAAAAACATTTAGCTTGTATTGACAAGATGAAGAACTGATCAAATTTTCATGAAGGCAGGTCTAGCGGTTTCGGAGATCTAGTGAAAAAGTAAAAAAAAAATGCCAGTTAGCGGTCAAAAATGAGCATTAGGCATATGCACATCAAATTATCACATATTTTATAGAGATTTTAACAATAAGTATAAATTTTGTTTACATTCCTATGGGTTCCGTACCAATGTTTACGCGTTAGACGGCGACGCGGCGCTTACGCGCTTCGATATTCCATCTCTATGCAATTAAAGCAGTACGATTGCTTTGAAAAAAAGTTCAGAATTTCCAAAATAAAGAATGTGTTATTTTTTTTTAAAGAGTCTTACTTTTTTTTAAAAAATAAGTAAATTTTTGTCAAAAATTGATAGTTTCTCAAAAATCTAATTTTTTCAGAGTAATTTTTTTTCAAAAATGTTAATCTTTTTAAAAAAAAAAAAATTTGGTACGGAAAGTTCCTGCAATTTGCCTTAAGGCACGATGCCATGCGCCCCCGCTAGTTGAATTATTCAAATCGCTTCATCCGTGTTCCCGAAATCGTCGACGAAAATTTGTATCCGAACACACACACACACACACGCAAACACACACACATACATCCATTTTTTCTAAGGTATACCAAAATATTCAGAAACCTCTGAAACGTAAAGATACATATATAAAAATTTTCATTTTCGATTTTTTTGCGATTACTATAACTTAAGGGAGTTAAAAATCAAAATTTTCAAAAGAAATACAAAGATTCCAAAAATTCAAATTTTCGAAATTTTACATCATTTTCAAAAAAAAATTAAATTTGAAAAATTAATAAAAAAATGATTTACCAAAGTTTGAGAATATTTCGAAAATGAAAAAAAAAATTTTAATTTTCAAAAATTTACAAATTCTCGAAATATTTAAAAAAAAACGTTTTTTTTTAAATTCCAAAAAATTTTAAACTCTGAAAAAATGTCAAAATTTTGAAAAAAAAATTCGAAATTATCAAAAAAAATCTAAATTATCAAAAAATTTCTAAATTATCAAAAAAATCTAATCTAAAAAAAATGGACTCTTGTAAACGTACACACATAAATTTTTTATAAAATACGCTCATCGCGCAATTTAAAAAGCACTTATAAATTTACAATTTGTATTTATAATAAATAGTCTATTTGAAATTCTTTAAACCAATTATTGATTATTTTGGTGGTTCATACTTATGTAATTGTTGCAGGTTCCACGAGTCTGGTGTTGATGTTCAACAAGACAGGTCAAGACGATATGATTCTCACATCCTCGATTATTCCAACAATGAGCATTATGACAAGCCTGGCACCAGAAACTTTGTTACCAAGTCTGGCACCAGAAACTTTGTTACCAAGTCTGGCACCAGAAACTTTGTTACCAAGTCTGACACCAGAAACTTTGTTACCAAGTCTGACACCAGAAAGTATATTACCAACACCAAGTTCGACCCCAAGTCTGTCATCAACAATGGAGGTACCTCTGGAGTTGGACATGTACGAGCTAACATTCCTTCCGGAGACAGAGTCTTCAAGCCAGAGCAATTTGATACCATCGAGCACCGAGGAAGACACCACAATAACAATAAAGATGACGAGGACTTTAACGTTGACCAGGACAAGCACAAGAACAAGAAGCCACACAGAGACTTTACCACTGGAGTTGAAACCAACAGCCTCGATGAACCAGGAGAGTTCAATTCCGGAGGAAGACAGTACAACAACTTTGACATCAACAGTGAGATTGACGAGAACGTTGACTCAGAGCTTGGTACCAAGTACAACACCAATTTTGGAACAAAACACGTCCATCATACTGGCTACAAGCATGGGAGAAGACAGCACAACCACAACAACCTTGACGTCGACCAGGACGTTGAGGTTGACGAAGACACTGACTCGTCAGAACGTGGAAACATTAACATCAAGTCTGGAACCACTAAACACACCATTTTGGAGCAAAACACATCGATCTTATTAGCTCCAAGCATGGAAGCAGACAGCACAACCACAACAACGTTGACGTCAACCAGGACGTTGAGGTTGACAAAGACACTGACTCGTCAGAATACAGTAACACTGACTTCCAGTCTGGAACCAAGTACAGCACTAATTCTGGAGCGAAACACATCAGTCCAAGCTTGGAAGAAAACAGTACGACTACATTGACATCAACAAGAACAGTCAGGTTGACCAGGACGCTGACTCGTCAAAATACAGTAACATTGACTTCAAGTCTGGAACCAAGTACGACAGCAATTTTAGAGCAAAGCACATCGAGTCCGAGTCTGGAAGAAAACAGTACGACAACAGTAACATCAACAAGAACCTTAAGGCTTACAAGAACATTAACTCGCTTGAACACAGTAACCTTAACATCCAGTTTGGAGCAAAACACATCGAGTACTCAGATTCCAGAAATAGACAGCACGTCAACATCAACAAGAACAGTAACACTAACTCGAACAAGTACTCGAAGACACACAGTGACTTTACCACTGGAGTTGAAACCAACAATAATTTCAACACCAATAGTAAACCAGGAAACTTCCAATAATCAAGGAAGATATGTCCAGCAACTTGATCTTGCGTCTGGCAAGGACTCTAAGAGTCCAGGACAACAATATACAACCGACAAGGGTTTAAAATATTCTACAACTAACACTAATTCTAGAACAGGTGTCGGGAATACTAACAAAGCAGATTTACAATTAGTCAATAATAAAAATCATGATATAAAATATTTGAATGCAAGACAAGATGACTTTACCAGTAAACAAGTACATCAGTTTTTCCAATCCGAGCAATATCCGGATTATGAATTCCTGGACGATTTTGAGGATGATACATCGAGACGTGTGAGATCCAAAAGATCTTTTAATGATGACATTGGTGATGATGATGAAACGTTGTCGAGACAACATCGACATGCCAAACGTAAACATAGCAGCAGCAAAAACTTGTGTATTGGGAATGATGTTGAGTACGAGGTTTGCAATGAGCATCCTTGCCAGATGCACAGGAAGTACAGCGCCTGGACGCAATGGTTTCCTGTCAAAAATGGTAAGCAAGATAATTAATTCTCTCCTCATTCATTAGAGTTCTAACATATTATTTTTTTGCTTTAGAATCTGGTTCAATTTCCGAGTTGCACAGATTCCGGTACATGTGTTCAGCCCCAGTGGCTGCTGCGTCCAGGATCAAATTCTCAATGAGGGAAGAAAGACGAGTCCGAGATATTTCTAGAGATCGTTTCGATTTCGATAATGATGATAACGATTTCGATCTTGTCTCGGATATTGAGGGCGATTCAGATTTTGATAACAAAGGAGACAAGGATCGGAGAGAGGATGGACTGATTTTGGATAAAAAGATGGAAAGGGATAAGAGGGTTAATCTGGTGGAGGAAGGAGCGAGTAGATATCAGGAGTGCGAAGAGAAGTCTACGATTTTGAGAGCAAGTGCAATGATAGGTAAAATAAAATAATAATTTGTTATTAATTTCTATATATAAATGTAATATTATTATTATTATTTTAGTGGCCTTGTCGAGTGCAGGAGCATTTCTTTTGGGAGCCACTTGTACTGGAGGCATAATTCTTTACAAACTGAGAAGAGGAGGTCTCGATGTTTACTCTAAGAGAAGAGTTCGAGTACCTTCTTCACCTCATTATGTAACACAACCAACGACCAAGCAAAATTCTTACGTCAGTGTACCACTTAGAGAAGTAATAATATATAAATAATATAATAAATAGGAATTTGGAATTGATTGAAATATAATTTACAATATATTGTTTTTTACCTCAGGTGTCTGTTAAAAGACAGTCAAGTTTCTCTGGTCGTGGAAACACTCTTCACAAGTCGAATAATATTTCGAGCAACCAATGTCCAACACCCAAGCTTTATCCAAAAGCAATTTGCTCAGAATTGAATTCGACGTTGAAAAGAGGTAGCAGCAGTGGTAATTCGGATAATATTATGAATAACAGGGATCAGGATAAGTTTTATTAATGAAATCATTAAGTGTTGACAAGAGAGGCACTCAGTTAAGTATTGATTCAAAATCCGTGTACTACTACTCATGGATTTATTTTCAAAGTTTTTATTAACATATAAAAGCTACATCAATTTGCAATCAACTGATTGCTTAAAATGTTGTAGCTTTACCAGAGTATTGTTTCGATATGTATATACATATGTTGATGAGTAGCTCATATTGAGCATAATGTTGTATTTATAAATTTAAAACTTGTTATAAGAATGAACTGCTTAATTTTTCTAAATATTCAAAATGAAATTGCCATATTGAAATAATACTAAGCTACTTATTAATTATCTAATGAAGAAAGAAATACCTAAAATAACTTAATTGACAAATGCTTTATAGTTAAGACTTGATTCAAACGATAGTCATTTTAAATATAAATGTCTTCATTTAAAGATTATAAATCGTGATTTTATATATAAATATATATGTAAACTGTTTATAGATCAAAAAAAATCTAATTAAACAGTTGCTTTGATAATATTTTAAATAATTATGACAAATAAGAGGCATGTTAATGTTTAGTTGATCTCTTATAAAAATATTGTTGGTTACATATTAATTATATTTTAAGACTTTCTCAAATAAATGGGACCTTCCCTATATAAAGACAATAATGAAAGAATTGTTCATGTTTTAAAGATAGTTTATTTAGTATAAATATATTGTAGCGTTCTTGTATATATATTTGTAAGTTTTTATAAAAAATTAAAAATATGAATTTATTAAATATGGTTTTTATTTACAGTAAGCCAACACTTAGGGTTCTTTTATTTCAGCCCTAGTAATAGTGGAATTATCAGAAGAAATCAGTTTAGGTGATATAACTACAGTAAGAAATCATGGTTTATAATTAATAAGTGCATTAGTAAAATTTTGGTAAAACTCGGAAGCCAAATAAGCCCCTTGAAAAAGTTTTACAAATAAGCAATTTAGTTACTCGAGGAACCAGAAGCAGCACAAGTCTTTAAAATTAACTGTAAGTTTTAGTTACACTATTCTTTTGTACGAAATATTTTTTATTTTATTTTTATTAAAAATATAAACAATTATTACTGAATACATATGTATTCAGACAGACAATAACAAAGTAAATGTTTGTGTTTAAAGATAAATTATTTATTAAATATATTATGTATAATTATTTATACAATATTGTATATATATATATTTAAGTTTCTATATAAAATTAAAAACATGTATTTATAAATATGGGGCTTTATACACATTGATTTTTCCATAAACTTTCAGCAATACAAAGGACAACGTGTATTTGGTCTAAATATTATTAATTTGTCTATTATTATTTTATTTATTGTTAAATTAAAGCTATTAATATAAATTTTGGTTCAGTTTCTTAATATTAAATTTAAATAACGATATCATGGCCAACTCTTTCGATTTCTCTTAAAATAAATAACATGTCGTTATAAGTCGGAGGCGGATGGCACGTGTTGACTATGCGGAAGGCGTTCACCTTTTTCGTCACCAGGGATTCCTGACAGGTGCAATTTACACCATTTTCAGTCAAATCTGAAACTAAATTATCCTTCGGTAAAGAATTCATGATATTTAGTTGATTTAAACTGTTAAAAGTTGAGCTTTTAGTGTCCTGGGCTTTATCTTGGAGCACCCTGTTCAATTTGTTGTCACTGTTACCAACATCTGAAAATCCATTTTGAACATCAAGATTTAAAATGTTTTCAGATTCTTGGAGTGCAGTTTCTTTATCACCAAAAACCGTTTTGCAAACGCGTTTGTTCATTATTTTGTATATTTAACACATTAATAATATGTATTTGTTGATCGCCATTTTCTTCGACTGTCAAATCAGTTTGTGTTAAACCGTCATGGCTGACAGTTTGTTTGAGTTCGTCTTCGTTTTCATGAAATTTTCCATTAGTTTTCGTGTTTAAATCCTTAATATAATCTAAATCATCGTTTATTATTTTGCCATTAGTTAAATGTGAATCAGTTATCCTAATTTCCGGTATTTTAGTATCAAAAATATCAACGTTCTTTGTAGTGTCTATTAGTACATTTTGCACAATAATTTCACGTCGATTTGCAGCAAAATTATTATTAAAACATTTATTCACACCTATGCCCTTAATATCTGTACTTTTTATATAATTCTGTGTGTTAATATACTTCGGACAACTACTTTTATGTTTGAGGTTATGTTGTGAGTGTTTTTCGGGTTTGGACGTGCTCCTTTGTATTTTTGCGGGCAAGGGGGCGTATCCTATCATCAAAGTTCCATTCATAACTAATTTCTTTTTGATAATTGATGTAACTCTGTGAATTTTGTCCCAGAACTCTTCTGTTCGCTCTTGGTCTCTCATTGATTCAGGGACATACCTAGAGTAAAAAAATAGGCAAGAAATAATTATATATATAAATACAAATATATCTTTATCTCCCTTACCAGAAACAGACATTCGTGCATTTATTTTGCTCCCCTTCAGACACAGGAATGTATCCAGGCCTTGTCCTGACTCTTTCTCGTAAATATTGACAACATTCCATACAATTGTCCACACGTTCACTCAAGGATTCCTCACCTCTTGCCAACCACATCAAGAGCAATTTAAAAGCATCAGTCTAATGAGATAAAAAAAATTAATAATATTTCTTAATCTTAAGGAATGTACTATAAAAATATTTATCAAAGTCACTTATTCGAAATTATTATTCGAACTTCCTTAACTAGTTTAGGAAATTTAGACAAAGTGCTGACTTATAAAATGATTAAGTAAGTAATTTATAGTTATTATTACCTTTCTTCCACATTGTATGGTCATATCACCAGTATCGTAGCTCACATCATAATATTTATCGGGTTGAAACAGGTAATCAGCACCCAAACTGTTACATTTATGCAATAAGCCCTAAAATATATAAAAACTATAACAATATTCTTTACCATTTCTATATTACCATTTCGATTTATTATTAACACTAACCTTTTTCTTGACCAGGAGCATGGAGCATTGCAAGGGGGCACCAAGCATCTTGTGCGGGTTCCAGGATATTGAATCGGCTCTAAGGTAAATATAATTATAATGATTAATTATTTATAGTGTTATAAGTGTTAATGTTTATTTGTAAGTATAAAGTACCTTTCGATTCCTTTCAATAGAA